CTCGTTGGGTGATCAATGCTACCCACTTACTTTGTCTGCTCCACCGCCCATGGGCTGCAGGGGCACAGCCTGCCTCACCATGGTCTTCACCACAGGCCGCAGGGGAATCGCTGCTCCGGCGCCTGGAGCATCTCCTCCCCCTCCTTATTCACTGACCTTGGTGTCTGCAGGACGTTTCTCTCACCTATTCTCACTCCTCTCACTCGCTGCACTTGCTGCTGCCCAACGACTTTTTCACTCTCTTACATACGTTATCACAGAGGCGAAAAACGCTGTCGCTGATTGGCTCGGCCTTGGCCAGCGGCGGGTCCGTCTTAAAGCCGGCTCTATATCTGACACAGGGGAAACTTCTAGCAACTTCATACAGAAGCCACCCCTGTAACCCCCCCCACTACCAAAACCTTGCCACGCAGACCCGTTACATTCTGTCAGCAGGCCATGTGCTTGTGTTGGGGTTTTCCCAGTTCTCTGGTATCTGAGGTGTTGAAGAGTGAAGAGGATTTGGCCTCCAGGTACTTTGTTGCGGAGCAGTCTTGGCTTTTGTACGTCCATCATAAACTGTGCTGCAATTGTGGCAGCACCATCTGTTGTCTGGTGATGACATCCTTTCAGGCTTCTCACAACATGAAAAGCTGGCAAAAGTACTGCAGGAACTGTCCTTCATTTTTAGGAAGGTGAACTTTGGAGCTTTTTTTGTTTTAGTATTGCAAGGTATCCCAGTTTTGACCCCTGCTGGCAACACTGGCCTTGCAGATGTTCTTAGGATACATCTCGTCAAGGGCTTTCGGAAACATTCCCTTCCTGTAAGGTGAGGAATTCCAGTTGCACTACCAGGATCCAGGTTAGAAACAAAAAGCCCAAGTGCAGGGCTGTAATATGGTCATTTTGGCTTGTGCAATGCTACAGGCTTGGGGAGGAGTGGTTGGAGAGCTGCCCAGCAGAAAAGGACCTGGGGGTGCTGGTCGACAGCCGACTGAACATGAGCCGGCAGTGTGCCCAGGTGGCCAAGAAGGCCAACAGCATCCTGGCCTGTATCAGAAATAGTGTGGCCAGCAGGAGCAGGGAGGGGATAGTGCCCCTGTACTCGGCACTGGTGAGGCCGCACCTCGAATCCCGTGTGCAGTTTTGGGCCCCTCACTGCAAGAAGGACATTGAGGTGCTGGAGCGTGTCCAGAGAAGGGCAATGAAGCTGGTGAAGGGCCTGGAGAGCAGGTCTGGTGAGGAGCGGCTGAGGGAGCTGGGGTTGTTTAGTCTGGGGAAGAGGAGGCTGAGGGGAGACCTTATCGTTCTCTACAACTACCTGAGAGCAGGTGGTAGTGAGGTGAGGGTCGGTCTCTTCTCCCAAGTAACAAGCAATAGGACAAGGGGAAACTGCCTCTATTTGTGCCAGAGGAGGTTCAGATTGGATATTCGGAAAAATGTCTTTGCTGAAAGAGTTGTCAAGCATTGGACCAGGCTGCCCAGGGAAGTGGTGGAGTCGCCATCCCTGGAGGTATTTGAAAGACGTGTAGATGTGGTGCTTAGGGACATGGTTTAGCTGTGGGCTTGGCAGTGAGAGGTTAACAGTTACACTTGATGATCTTAAGGATCTTTTCCAACCTAAGTAATTCTATGATGCTAATGTACAGGTAATGTTTTCCAGACCACACAACAGATAATCATGACCAAATCTAGTGCCGTAGCAGGGACTGAACTCGCAGTTCATATGACTGTTCCAGAGTAAGCAGTGTCATGCAAGTAAATGAGTTGGTTACTTGAGATGCAGAGCAGCCTAGTGTACTTTCTGGAACACTACCAAAACACTGCCAGCAGCAAAGTTGTTTTCACAAGAAAAGACAGATGGATTTTTAAAGAAGCAAAGTAAATGTGGTGCTGTGGCAGACTGAAGTCAGTCTTCACAAGTGTGTATTAGAAGAAATAATACATACTGTAATGATGCCAAGTAATGACTTAGGTTCTTGGTAGGACAGCTTAGTGAAACATCTACAGTAACAATCAGAAGAAGTTCAAGGTCATATGGATTCTGAAGCAGAAGCTCGGAGGATTGTTACGGGATGTACGCTAATACAGCAGCTGCTACGATGCTGTTATAAAGCTGATGGCATAAACTCTTCTTTTTAAAATGCCATGTTACAGTTTTTTCTGAGTTTACATAGAATTTATCAAGTGGGAGCTCAGAGGTGCACAATCAACATCAGAAAGGCCAGAAGAATATTTTTAATAAAGTAGAGGGTGAAAAGAGTAAGCTTACTTTGTGTACAGTTTGATCAATTGTTCAAGACAGCAACAGGAACTCTTCTGTATAATGGAAATGAAGCTCAGGTTTTTGAGGAGGCATCATGTGCAGTCTCCTGGAGATGTGACCTTAACGCCTTTGATAGCTGCCTCATCAGTGCTGCTAGAGACAGTCTTTGCCACTTTGTTTAAAATCAAGTTCACTGCTGTGTGTGTCACTTCTTGTCGGGGGTAGAGTTTTTAATCTTGTTTCTAGCATCTGTGTTCTAGAGTATATATTAATATCCTGAACTTCTGAGTACCGGGTTTTTTGTCTGTTCTCGCAGAAAGCATATCTTCGATTAGAGACAGATTTTCAAAGGTGTGTGCTTAGTAAAAAAAAAAAAAAAAAAAAGTTACCACTATATAACTGCCTTTAAAAGTGTTCTCTCCCCCTGTTTTCTCTCACCTTTCCATATATTCCTGCATGTACGTATTCTTGTATGAAAATCATCCAGAAGGGCAAAAGACAGTGCAGCAAAGGTGGCAGTCACGTGGTTTAGTATTGTTTCCTGTGAAACATACTTAACACTTTCCTTTATTTTTTTTTTTTCATCCTGAATTAAATTTGGAGGAGCTAAATGTTTATGCTAATGTAGATCTCTCAGGAAAATGTTTACAAGTGTTTTGTAAGCCAAGTGGGAATAATAGGAATTTTTGTGAACATTCTTCCAGAAACTAATTGTATTATTTTATTCCTTCTATGTTGCTTACACTTTGTCAGTATGTTTTTTGTTTTCTCCTTCTTTAAAGCCTGTGATGTGACAACGTGGTTGAGCTCATTTGCTTTCCAAGTTATTGTTGAGGCATTTGACCAGAATTTCCAAGGTGGGAAATGTCTGTGTTTGCCACGCAGCGGTTAAATTAGCGTGTTTATAGTTCACAGGAAAACTTAGTGTTACTTAAAATTTTACCCTGGAGTTTTAAGGATTAAAAATTAATGCAGGAAAGGGGTGGGAAAAGGAAGATAGTCTGTTTCCACAATTTTTATAAAGATTTTTCTATGTTTGTTTACAGCAAATACAAGAAGACTTGAATAAGCAGTTACTTGATAACCTAGTAAGTTTTTTGAGGCGGTCTCATTCTGAGTTCCAAGAGAAGACAACAGAATGGACTTGTCGGATGAAGTCCAGAGAAATCCCTACTGCAGCTCTTGTCTTAGGTAATTTTTTGAAGATATATTTTGTTATGTACATCTGCTTAAAACTAACATTGAGATCAAAGAAAAATACATTGCTGACTTCCAGTGATTATTGTGAGCAATATCAGCTTCAGAAATGTTAACAGAAGAGATGGGGCTGGGAGAAGGAGGCAGGATAAGACCTCCTTCCCCTTTCTCTGTATGTATAATAGTCCAGTAAGTTAACACCTTCCTTAAAGGTCTGTCTTGGGCAGCTGGTAGTGAGTTGTTGTTTTTTTTCCTGAGGCGTTGGAGATGCTTTGGATCCGTCCCTGCTTCTGCCACCAACATGCTTGGTGGTTTCTGTGACTAACTGTGGAACTACACAGCTTCTGTATTTCTGATATACGTTCTTGCAGTGCATCTTTATGTATAGGAAACTGGTGTCGTCATCTTGGAGAAGGAGCAGAGGGTGAAGAAAATAGCTAAAGATCTTATTACTGAAGTTAGCGAAGTTCTGAATTTTTTTTTTTCCTTTCTTTTTTTTTCACCCTCCTTTCTTCAAAGGGTTGTCACTGTAATCCTAAACCTGTTTCAAGGCAACCTAATTGCATTTTCAGTGGATCATTTTAGGGAATCTAAATCAGGCCTGTGCTTCAAATTTACCATGTGAGCACTAACAAAGCCTGGAAGGTAGTCTACTTTTGTAGGTAGTAGACAGTGAGAAGTTCCTGCTCTGAATATTTCTGTGGAAGCAGCTGTGAATTGCCTTCTACAGGGGCATGTTCTTTTTTTTTTGGTTGACTAAGGACGCTAACAAAGGCAGGAAATATTGAGTAGTTCATAGTAAATTGAGAGTGTAGTTCATACTAACTCATAGTAATTTTCCTCCTTACATAACCCATGTGAGGCCTCAGGTGTATGTATGCACTGCTCTTCTACAGAAGGTGAATTTCATCTTCCGATTTGCAGGCCTTAGATTACTCTGGATGGCTTCTTAGAGTATGAGTAGCAGGGAAGGTAGAAAACCAATCCTACTCCTTGCAGATTTGCACTCTTGAGAAATCTATCTTTAAAAAAACCAAAACCAAACTGAACTAATGAAGGGATCTTTGGAGTGTTTCGCTGTTCTTTTTAATCAGCCAGTATAAACATATATGTCTAATCTTGTTCTAGTTTTTAATCTTCCCTCATAGATGATGCAATGCTTTTCATTCCTTTTTTGAATGTTTGAGGAATCTTCTGGTTTTTGTTTGCTGTTCAGTTTATTATTCAGTCATTGTGATCACAAACCACAGGAAAAATGCCTTTAAAAATTTGCCCTTTTTTCTAGGTGTAAATGTTACAGATCATGACTTGACTCTTAAAAGTGTCTCAGAAGTCCTTCAGAATAACGTCACTCCTCATGTAGCCTTCCTGGAAGCCAAAGATTGCCCAGGTGAGTACTGCAATAGCTTTGCTGCTTCTTCTGAATAAGCTGTCAAGTAACTAGATATTGTAGCTTTTACCCCTGAATGAAAAAATAATGAGATGGAGGGATCTTGAAGACTTTCCAAAGATTTGGTCAATCCCATGTTAACATAGCAGTAATGCCTACAGTATTTTAAGAGGTATTCAGTTCTGTTTGAAACAATGAAGACTGAAATACTACTTAGTTGTAGCATAAATGTCAGGAGCGTGCTGCCTAGTGTATTGTATGTGGGTATGTATGTAGGTTGGCTTTCTTCTCACTTACTTTGACAGCGTATGTACGCATTCCACTTTTCAAATGCTTACGATCACGTTATTACAGAGAGGGAATGGGTAGAATAAAATTTTGTCCCACTCTTCTTGCTTCTCTTTTATTTTTTTAAGTAAATAGAATAAAATCACTTACGTCAGCATCCCCAGATCTATGGATTGGCTGCTTTACTTATTTTTAGGTCACTAATAGCATGTGGCTGGAAAGGTGCAGGGCCAGCATCATAACCTGAACTGTTGCTAGCTAGGTAAATTAATGGGATAATTTTTATTGCATTAACAACATGCATATCATGAATACTTTCAAGCTTTCTCAAACACGGGATGTGCATTCTGGAGAGAGAAGAATAGGTAGAAAAGTGAAAAATAGTAAGCGATAACTTGGGGTAATTTTTTTAGAGTATAAGTTGGAGAAGTGTTACCAAATAACCAAATGTCTTTACTCTGTGTCTAAAAATGTTTTGTGAAGGCATAAAAAATCTGGTGCGGAAGCTGATGGGGCAGCTGATGAGCTGCTGTATGGATGTGGACTCACAGGAAGAGGACTATGTGCAGGTTTCCCAGAATAGAATACGTTGTTCAATGACTTCTCTTATCAAGTGGTATGAGAGTGTAACAAAGGTATGATTTTTTTAAATTTTTTTTGGGGGGGGTATCACCAGTTTATAAAAATGCCTGACCTTTAGATGTTTTTAAAAAACAAATTGAATAATTGAAGTTCCTGTGCTGTACTGAAAAAATGCCGAAGGTTAGCTTTTCATTTAACACTAACAAGTAACTGAGATTGAGGTGATTTAATATAAATCTGTAACATATATAACAAATGTGTAGTTAGTTGCTGATGAGGTAGGAGTGTCAGAAGTCTGAAAAACAAGCAAAAAGTACTATTTTATCATACGATTAATTGGGAACTAGAAGCTTAAAATGCAGCATCAACTTCCTGCCAGATGCTTTTCTTCCAGGACTGCTGAGATGTTTTGTTTATTAAAAAAAACTTTAAGAAAGAACAGCCATCCAGGGGAAAGGCACTGTATTAGTGCTAGTGTGCCATCATGTCATCTGCAGCCCACACTACCTTGACAAACAGTGAGAAAATAACTTTCAAAATGTTTTTGTATCTTTATATTTAATAAAGTTAATGAAGTTTTAAGTTTTCTTTCTGTCATGAATAAAATTTAGAACTGATTTTATGATGACTCCATCAGAGCAGTGTGTTAAACAAAAGTTTAATGAGTCCGTGCTCTTTAATACCGGGTAAAGATATAGGAAATGAGCAACATCCGTGTACACAACTCAAATCATCTCCCTCAGTCCCAATGGAATTTCACCAGTTCTGTCCCACAGCTCTATTCTTGTCTTTGTTGGAATCTGGGGTTTTAAAGCTCGTTTATTATTGTACTTCATGCTGTGCCAAACAGAAGGAAGAAAAATTGCAATTTTAGATGCTAATAATAAATAAACTGTAGCAAAAAGTCAGTCATGTCACTTTGGAGCATTATAATATCATAGATGTGATACAATCTTTTTATTTTACTGTCTTCTGTTTATTAATACATAACAAATGGCTTTAAAGAAAACAGTTTCTGAAACTCCAAGCAAAAAAAGAACCTCCGCTTCTAGACATTGGCAATCTCCTCCAGTTGTAGTTATATTTAAAGACATGGAAAGTTTCACCACAAAAGTACTTCAGGACTTCGTAGTCATCAGCAGGTAACATAACATGAAGTTTAGTTCTTCCACTCCTTTACCCATTTTTCTATTTGCAGCCTGTTTTGAAGTGTAACAATGAGGCCAGTGGAGAATTGGAATAAAATATTGATGCTGCTTCTTGGCAGCGGTAATCGAGCAAAAACCTATTTGCTAGGTGTTGGGGATAAATTATCCTAAAGCTAACGGGGCTCTGAACGAGAGTGCCCAAGGGCTGGGTTGGAATATGGGGTGGCTGATTTAATTCTTTATGTGAGTGGATTAATTGGTACTAGTTGTTACAGAATTTGCAATTGTGAAACTAATTTTTTAAGATACCTAGATCTTTCTTCTGTAGGCTTTTAAAGTTGTTTTCAGATTGTATTTTATGTTCGGCTACTGATGTAATGCTGCTTAAAGGTCACTAGCGTACTAATAGGGGTATATAAAACTTACCCAGAGAATTTCTCAGTGTTGGCCAGGATCTGTAGCGAGTAGCTGACTTCTTCAGGTGCTCCTGTGCTCTGTTCCTTCCTTAACCTGTCTGTCTTAGTACCATCTCATGCATTCTAATCCAAACCCCATTCTGTTCTCCAAAAAGAGCATTTTGCACTTAGTCCCCAGGTTGAAGCTACTGTTACAGCGAAATTGGGGCTGCAGTTGTACAATTCATTCATGTGCAGCGTGCTTACCTGACATTACCTCTAAACAAGACTAGGCAATTTCATGTGCTGGGAGACTCACAATAAAAATATTTTTCTACTTCGGATCTGGCAGACGGGTTCTCTGGGGAACATTTCAAGAAGTAAAATCAGAAATGCACAATTATCTGGAAATAATTAGGTTGTAAGGCAGGGGAAAATGAGGTTTTAATTGTTCCTTAAGTGTTGTGTTTTATCTTGCTTTTTATGTCAAGGGTAAGTACCTAATTATGAGCATATGGAAAGTAGATGAAGTGCAGTTCAAGTCTGTCAGACTACTATTTGCAAAGATGCTTTTTTTAATAGACTGTGGGTCTCTTCATGAAAAAAGGTTTAGAGGATTCAAATGATGTTGTAACTAAAGATTGTCTTGATTAAAGTAAAGTAGAAGATGGGTAAAATAGAAGCTTGGCAGAGTTGCATAATACTTTGAAGAAGACCTTTGGGTTACTTTTAGAGATGGGGCTTATTCTCTCCAGTCTTAAACATGTTTGATCATAAGGGCGAAGGGGGTAAATGTGAGAGGTTCTTCTGATTTGTTAATCACAAAATTCAATCTCTCTCCATTATTTTAAGTTATTAGCAGTGGACAGTATATATCGAGTTTATGGTTTTATGTTTAAGTCTCTAGCAATGATTTTGAGGAGTTAGAGAAATGGAATAATTGTGGGATAACAATTAAAACACCAAGGTCAAAAAGTTGATGTGGTAACAGAGGAAAGGAATAAATTGTCAGTTTTAACCTAGAAGATACTTGAGATACAAATTCTGCTGTCTGCTTGAAACTAATAAAGAAATGGGAAATAGTGATGTAATAATACTGAAAACACTATTTTTTATATGTGTTCACAAGGAATACAGCATTCGGTCATGGTTATTGGTTCTTAAAGCATATACTAAAAACTTATCTGAAGAGGAAGACTGAATCTGGAGAAGCTGGAATTCTTTTTTTTGAGTATAATGGGACACAGGGTGTTAGAGGGGTTTCATATTATTGTAAGTTTATTAAATGGTGTAAAATTTGTAAATTTTCTTGAGACTGTTAGATGTTTAATGTCTTCTTATTTTTTCTCTTTGAAAAAAAAAAAATCATATTATAAGATTCAGTTCTCTGAATATAACTTTTTGGGAAGATAGGACCAGTACAAAACTCCTAAGTGAAAAGATGCTTTCTATGCCACTTTCTGAAATTTGAAACCTAAAATCTAGTTTAATTTGCTTTTCTACTTTAGGGCTTTAAATAGCTTCCTTTCTTTTTCATTTTACTCCAAATCAAAACTTTTGGTTCACTGGCATCAAATCTTTTAATTTACCCCTTTTCTCTGTTTAATAAAGCTCAGTGCTGTAGTAGGAACATAATGCATTTGTTTCATGATTTTCTGTAGTGTAACTATCATGTTTTTTTTTTTTTCTCCCTTCTGCCGTGATCTAGCCAGCATATCCATGAGTTACCTCTAGTACTGATTTTTGGAATCGCTACATCTCCAATGATTATCCACAGCTTACTTCCTCACTCTGTTTCCTCTCTGCTGTGCATAGAGCTTTTCCAGTCCCTTTCCTGTAAGGACCACCTGTCTACTATAATTGACAAGGTAATTCTCTTTCTAAACAGGAGGAGTGTGTGTGTTTTCAAGTACAGTGTACATGTGTGGCCTTCAAAAGTAGGTTTGTCTGAAGCTGTTGAAATGGAATCTGTTCCAGAGAGCTGTGGATTTGGGGTGTTTCTACTTGTAGCTGCAGAGTAGCTTAATACTGAGAGCTTCCTTCTCACATTGAGACACACTCACACCCTTGACATCATCTTTCATTTGCATTGACATTTGTGCGTACATACTTGGGCAATTACGCTTTGACATTCCCACCTCTTCATTAAAGTAGTGCTTTGATTTGAGTTTTACTTTGTTTCAGAAAAAGTTGTCTTTAAACATAGAAAAACACAATTCAGTCTGAATTTTGCTGCCTGCCAAAATTAGCAGAGTTATCCAGATGTTCAAGGTATACCACTTTGTGCAGGATTTCCAAAACCGCTGTTACAGATGTTGAACATAGTGCTATCCTTGGTTTTTACAGCAATCTCTGTTCTGTTTGTAATTTTAAAAATAAATGCAAAAATAGCGTTAAGCAAAACTAGTTTCAGACGTTGCATATTAGTAAAAGGAACTTAGAAAAATGTGGTGAAATAAACTGAAAATCAGTCTGAATGGATATTTTAGTAGAAATACTGTTTTTAGAAGTTGGCAGTGTGTTTAGTATCTCATTTAGTTGAATGCTAACACGTACTGAGTTGTATCAAATTGTGTATGTAAGTTTTGCTGAGTTGAATTCAGGAAAGAATTTCTGCTATGGCTACTTTTCCTTTTTGTTTCCCTTAGCTGCTCCTGACATCCCAGTTTCCCTTTAAACTGGGTGGGAAAGTTCTGCAGGTTCTCATCAACATGTTCTTGTACCATGATTTTTCTGTCCAGAATTTTATCAAAGGATTACAGGTAGGCAGTTCTAACCAGAACTCAAATTATGGTTGTGAACATAAAGGGTAATTACTAGGCACTGAAAGATTTCTTAGCTTCCAGTCTTGCTGTCGCTGAATTGGATGAAAAAATGTCCTTTGAAAACAGTTTGGATCTGTGAACAGGGGGGCGTTTTAAAGTTAAAACGTTAACTGCTAAGGTTTTAAGGGAAAACTTGTAGGACAGGTATGAAGAAGCATGTAAAACCTTACTCTGCCACAAAAAAAACCCCATATTTAAAAGTTAGATTTAAAAGGGTAACCTGCCTTAGTGGGTAGAAAGATCTATATTTTGCTATAGATTAACTTGTAGCTTCTAACACCCCTAACAGAACTCTCCAGCTCTGATGGTCTGTACCAGGTCTTTGTACTCTGGTTTGTCATGGTGTGAGTAGGCTACAGCAGTGTCTCTTCCCTGCTTGAACGCTCCTGACACAGTTTCTGAACTCACACTTCTTACCTTTTCAGGGAAATAGGAGCTGTAGGGTTACTTACTTTGTGTGTCAGAGTAGGTGGTGCTTGTGCTCCAAGCAGCTGCGCAACAATGGGAATTAGATTTACCCTCCCAGGATATGAAGTGGAAGACTTCAAGGTTTAGTCTATACAGATCACGATATTTATGTTTTTATTGCCTTATATAGAGCTTCATATCTAGATGTATTTTCTGTGTCTGAGTCTCCTTGTAGCTTTTGTGGATTGCGGACGAGAGTTCTCCAAAGAATTTGTAGTCCCTGTAACCTGTTTTAATGCAGGACTGTGAAATTGTTTTTCTTGCCTGGTTCCATGCATAAAACATGCCCTTTTAGTGTCATACACCTTTAGAGCATCTCAGATTCTTTGATGTCTGAGATTCAATGATTACATGTGATCAGGAGAAATATCCTGGCTGAGGTACCTCTTCCTGCAGACAGACCTGTGCAGCCTTTCATAGGTTCCAACTCCTCAGGTTTGAAAGAGTTACCAGGATTTAATGATTCCCCACTGGCCTGAAACAAAAATACAAGTCCTAGCCCTGACAGCATATGGCTGTGTCCTTGTGTGTTAAAAGTATTCAAGGATGAAGCCATTTCAGATCAGATTTCCCAAGTCATAGATATGAGGGACCACCATCATCTCATTGTGTCTAGGAGCTATGTTAACTCTTCTGCCAGGAAGGATCTTTCCTCTTTTGACAGTTTTTATGTTTTAAAAGTTTTTAGTGAGGTAGTCTGTCTGATTGGGGTTTTTGTTCTGTTTTTAAGAATAGATGAGATGAGTATATGCTATGATTGTGCAAAGCCCTGATGCTATAAACAGTGCAGCTGAAATCAGTAATAAAGTGCATTTGTATATATGCATAGTAAGAGCTTAGCAGTGTATTTTTGTGTACATGAAACAGAAATTGAAATTAGGACATGTGATAAGTTTGCTTGTGTACAGTAGTTGCTTTTCATATCCTTAAATATACTCTTTGTGAGTATTGGAGCTGAATATGTAACCTAAAGAACCTAATTCACATAAGTGAATAGAAGGTATTTGACAAGCTATAGTTACCATTATGTAAGAGTGGGGAAAGAAGAACTGGAAATGAACAGTGCATACAGCAAAAAAAGGTAGGTAATTATATGACTGTATTTAAAACTGAATGATCAGTCTCCTGTAGCGACTTACAGAATATTTATGAACTGTAGTGAATTTTTTTTAAAGGAATACCATTACTACCATTGTAGTATATGCACTCTACTAATAACAAAGCATTAAAAGGTAGATATAGCAGGGAGCATGAATTTCATTAACATCACTGTTCTTGCTTTGTTTTTCAGCTCTGTGTTGTGGAGCACTTCTATGTCCAGCCTCTTAGTGTACTGTGTTGCCAACAGGTAGACCTTAAGAAGAGAGTAAATTCTTTATCACATGAGCAGTGTGAAAACGTTCGAAGGCTGCCCTCTTTTAGAAGGTAAAAGGGGAAATAAATTTTTGGGTGTAAATTTAGTCAGCTTTAAAAAAAGATAAAAGTAATCTGTAAATGTAACTCTGTGAAAACCATACATCACTTGTGTGTATGTTGCTGTATCAAAGGTAAATCAGTCAAGAGGAGGACAGTTCTAAATAATTTCAGGAAGCCTTAATCTTCTGGTCTAGAGAGTACAGCTTCTGTGATGTGTAATCACCTGAACTTTTTTTTTCCTCTTAATACAAAAACATGCTATTGTGACAAATAACCATGAATCACTTGTGAACTTGTTAAACTGACTTGGAGCATAATCTCTAGGGTTTTGGAGCAGCCTTTTTCAACTTGCTGAATGTTTTGGATTTGATTGTTCCTTTTTGAATCTTTCCAAATAAAGCCTTATAGCAACATAAACTTTTTGAATTTTTTAACCTTATAATCTTTAATCATACTTTCCATTGTAATTTTCATGTTCTTGTTTTTTCTTGCCATCAGGTATGTGGAAAGGCAAGTATCAGAGAAACAGATTGCACTGCTGACAGCAGACACCTTCTTAAAGGTAAAATTTTAAGAAGGTCTTTGGAGAGCAAAACCAGCTTTCCCAATATATTAGTTTGTGGAGCATAATAAAAATACAAGACTAAGATGTGTAGTTTTATATGAGGTCTTTCATACAGTACCTACTGCGCTTCATGTCCAGTTCTGGAGAATTAGGATCGGCAGGTGAAAATTCTGAATCTCTAGGGTTGCCAGGTACAGCTTTATACAAAGCTGCACAACTTTTCTTACATCAACTTTTAGTTATGTCTGGACATATAACTGCTTAAAAAGAAGGTTACAAGGTTTATTTATGGCCTGGTCTTTTTAATGCTTACTCAGACCGACTTTCTCAGAAAAGTCAGTGAAGTGTTTGAAGAATGAATAAGTAATCTTGGGGGTTATTTCCTAAGCTCTTAATCCTCCATACCCTCTGTGTAGTTTCTGATTGAACTCAGTAGGGCAGTCTGGGTCCCGAGGCACACATTCACACTAGATGTCATACAGGATTAAAACTTTAATTTATGTTACATGTTTACCTGAATGTTTGTCAAATGATTAAATTCCGGCTACTGCTAACTGTGAGCCGTTCAGGAATTCACCAGCAAAGATCTGTTGGTTATTTTCACCAGTTGAACCACTCCCAGTAGAAGCATTGCTCAGGGTAAAGGGTTTCTCCTAGCTCTTTGTCTCAAGTATAGCTAACCTGTCAGGCAAATGGTACTACTAGAGATAAAGCAATTTATCCTAGCAGAGCTTCCTGGTCTGTAAGGACTTTTGAAGTGTGAAGAGCAATGGTAATGGCTGGAAGAGAGGTTGATAGCAGGAAAGTTTGCAAGTGCATTGCAATTATAGCAGTCAAGGCCAGACGTGATTTACACATTATTTAATGATTCCATAGTCTTCAGTGGCAAAAACAGCTTAAGCTACTGCTATTCATTCACACCTCAGCAGATGTACCAGCACAACTGCTTGAGTGGCTCTACGAGGAATGTAATCAGAGAAACAATCCAATTAGAGTAGCCTGACCAGAAAAAAAAAAAAAAAAAAAAAAAGATAAGACATGGGGATCTTTTTGCTGGGTTGTTTCTGCAGAATGATTTCCCCAATGCAGTTCACTCTGCAGGTGCATAAATGCTTCTGTGGGAACAACAGGAGAAGAGAAGGAGTGCGGATGAGCAGCTGAAACTCTATTTCTTTGTTTAAAGACTATGTAATGGGCTGCTACTTTGAAAGTTGAATACTCATCAGCTTAAACTTCACATGTTTTAAACTTTATGTGTTTAATAATATACCCCCTGTTTCATAAGCTTCACCCTATAAGTTTGGGAAGAAAGCCGCAATACTTGTGCTTATGTGCATATGATGCTTCTAACACATTTTAATTGAAGACACTTGTTCTAATCTCTACAGTAGGGGTAGGACTATTATTGCATTGCCAGGCTGACAGTATAGTCTGCTTGAGGAGAAAAGGTCCTACTGTTGCATTAATGAGGTGCCGTTTATCCTGTATGTCCTACTAATCTACAATATCACTCCGAACTTTGGAAACACTTTCGAAGTCACTCTGGTACTACTTCATATAAATTTACTGTTCATGTTCAAGACCAGGTAAACTTGCTGTTCAAGCTGAGCACCTAGTACCCTTTGTCAGCTGCAATTTATGTTCCATGTTGTTACCACTTTTCTAATAACTATGGGAAGAGTTCCACCAATTTAGAATAATCAGTTTTAAAAGCAATTTTACATTGTAATTACTTATAACTCTGTCTGAAAGTTTTCATGGCAAATTTCATTTGAAATTATGTAAATGTGGCAGTCTATATTTATGGAAATAACTTTGCATATCTTCTAATAATGTTTTCAAACTTCTAAACCAGAATATGCCTTTTCACTTCGTTATTGGGCAAAATACATAGTCCTACTGCATTGCTATTCATGTATATGAGCTACATCAGTCTTGAGCTGGGAAACAAGACAAGGGACATACAGATGCTATAATGCTCTGAGTTTGGGGAAATAAGATTGATGTGGCAGGATTAAAGAGAACTTGTTTTCTTCACTCAGCTTTTTTTTTTGTGGTGGGGATAATTTTCTTTTAATGATCCTGCTTGCAATTTAAATACAAACTTGTGAGTGTCTACCCTAAGGTCCTGGGAAGTTGTTTAAACAATTGTTCTATCAGTGACCCTTAAATTTTAATAGATAAAAAGTCTATGGGGAGAAGTATCTTTAATGTTTTTAGTAATCTCAAACTTTAACATCAGAAAGCTCTCTGCAGCACTGTCTTTGTTACTTTCAGTCTCTGCAGTATGGTACTTAATCTTTCCGTGTGTCAGTACTTCCTTATATTGCCTGCAGATAAGGTTTTGCTTTTTTTTTTAAATCTTTGATACCCTTTGTTTCAGCTTAGAGAACTTCAGTGGCTTGTTTTATTTTTCTCTTTCCATTTGGAATAGTTTGCTCAGAGTTGAGCCAAATGGCAGTAAAATGGGGTAGAGAATCCTGTGGCTTTTTCCTCTATCTTTGGCCGAAGACCAGTGAGAGAAGATCTTCTGATTCACAAACTTAAATGTAATGCCCCCAAAGTACTTTAATACAGCTACCGGAAATTTTGGGTGCAGTTTTCCAGAAGTGTTACATATGCTTTCATAGGAGGCCAGTGATAATGAGATGCCATCCAGTAAATTCAGTAGCAGCAGTTAATAATTTCTTTTTCCTAATACATGATTTTTTTTTCCTTGCAGTTCTCAATCTGTGAATAAATAGAAGTCAAATTAAGAGCACATAGGATCAGCAACTGCGCATTTCTTTATTTTCTTTGAACTGGTCTTTTTACATATACCTAACTAATAAAAACAGCAGCCACCCATAATACTAGAAATAAATTTTTAAATGTGTTTGTAATATAAAAATACAAATAATAAGGATTTGAGTAAAGGGCTGTGTAATATCTCATTGCCTATTAAAGGTATAGTGTATAGGCTCATTTTTGCAAGATGACATGCCAAATTTAAAAGCTAAATATAGTTGAAAAAGGTAATAATGCTAATCAATAACAAATCTCTAGTGAGGTGGAGGAAGAACATGACGCTAACAATATGCAACATGATTGCAGTGAACTGTTGAAATACAGCTTTTTGCATAGTGTTCTTAATTTAATACTGGTGACTTAAATCATAGCATGCCACAATGTCAAAACTTGAGAGTCATTTTAGGTACTTTATGAGAGTTTTAAATAAATGGATGACATAATTCTTACAAAACAATTACTCTGTCACTGTAGGAAACGGTACAGGAGTTGCTGGAAGACTTGTGTGTTTACCATGAAAATTATGTTACAGTTCTAAAATGTCTTCATGTTTTCACATCTTTTCTTCCGAAGTATCCGTTGGGCAAGCAGGTGATGTACTGTTATTCCATTTTAGTGAAACATGGCGGGTTTTGTTTCAAAGTATGACATCTGAATAAGTATTTATTCTTTCTCTTTGTTTATTATTCTGCTGCTTTGCCCTCTGCTTCTTAAAATGGAGACAGATGCTTTCTTGCTATGGGCAGAGGGCAACAGCATGTGGTTTCTTAAGTGACATGGGTGATACCTTGTCCATCAACAGGAAGGAGTTTCCAGGAGGCAGATGCACAGATCAGGAAAAGAATCCACCATTGACTTTCCCACATCTGGGATTATCTGTATGCACTGCATACAATGTATGCTCTTCTACCACCTATTAGCTTGCTAGTCAAATTCAGATGAAGAGACTGAGTTTTAGCAACCTTCTGTACGGAATAAAATGATAGCAAGGGAACAGTGATAATTGCTTTTAATAGCCATATTGCTCTAATGTAATTAAATCTACCTTCTCACACTAAGCAATTTCTTCTTCCGCTGGAAAGGCAGTATGTTTTGTGCATGTGCATTTGTCTGTTGGTTCTCAATGTATTCCACACTGTTAGCAGAATCTGTCCCTAACTACAAAATCAGCATGAACAGTCCCAGTATTTGAGAATAAAAACGTGTTTTAGCTGGAGCATTTGATTGGAGTTCCTCCCTGTTCTCTGCAGTTATCTTCATCTGAATGTTAGTTGTTTGAAACCTAGTGCACAGCAACACATAGACTCCAGCAACACTAGAAGCTTAGTTCTGTAGGGTACTAAAGGCTTTCATTTCTTTTGCAATCATTCTGCATCTCTGGAAAACGAGCTCCAAAGGAGTTACATTTCATATTACTTCAAAAAGCTTGTTGTAAGGGTTCCGCGTTACTTTGTTTGTAAAACACTTTATCCTTTCTTCACCTTCTACATAACAGATCAGGGAGCTGCACTGTGCATGTTTGGAAAACCGAGTGTGGGAGACAGAGGAGTATGAGTCATCTCTTCATCTAGCAAGGTGATTTTTTTTAATTTTTTTTTTCCATTTTGTTTTATTACCATTGTATACATGGAGAATATCAGTCATCGGTTATTCTGGAACTTAAAGCTGAGGATATTACCTGTTCGCAGCTAGTTGTAGGGTTGTTTGCAAGTACAATTGCTGCTGTCTTCATTTTTGTCTTTCTACCATTTTCCATGAAACTCAGCCAGGTTCTAATATCTCTTAAGCCCTGAGTAGTTATGCTGAAACCACTGAGATTACTGTGTGTGAATGAGAACATCAGTTGAGTTTTTTCTTTTAAAGTATGATTGTGTTTAGATATTATCAACCAAATTATTAGTTTTAGTTGGCCTAAATTTTAATCTGTTGTGAAAATTAGAATCTGTTCCAAATGAATAGCTGAGGCCTTTCTTATTGTTTTGTTTACTACCTTCCCCACTGCCTGCTTTGTCTAACAGTTTGTACAAGGACTTGAGTGAGGTTTTTGTGTTATTGTGAACTTAGGACTTTAGGAGAGCCTACACTTGTTTTGTCTGTGTTTAAAATGGAAGAATCATCTAAGCCAATTTTCTTACTAGAAAACCCTTTAGTTGCAATGCTGCAGCTACACACTTTTAAATGTGCTTTATCATGGCAAGTGGCTGTTTCCTGATAGCTGCATTCATTCAAATAATACATTGGTTCTGTCACACAAGGAGCTGTTGCAACACCGTTACCGTAACTGCCTCTTTGAGAACCTCTGAGCTTGTGAGGTTTGGTGTGTCTGACAATAAAGTTGCATAGAAAAACCGTGGCAGTGGTCTGTGGAGGATAACTTCCTGGGCTGGTACGCACAAGGAAGCATAGTCTTCAGAATATACCTCTGCCATGCTGAGTGGTTCTTCTGCATCGCCACTGTGCTAATGTTCTTTACCTTCATCCCTTTGAAAGGATTACATGCTTGATTTGGCATTTCTACAGTCTTTCCTTCTTAATCTTCTGATCCTGAATCTTGACAGCATTCAATCACCTATGAACTCTTGCCCACAAATCGTTGTCATTTTGCTTTTCTGTACTGTCTGGTCTGTAATCTCTGATAACTCTTGGCCATTTTTTCCTCTTCTTTTTCTCCTTATGTTTAATTTGCTTTCTTCCACTCTGAATTCATCTGCCTCTTCTCCTGTCTCAAAGTTGAGCTGCCATCGGATTCTGGCTTGCTACCCTTTTATTCTTATCTGTTCATCTCCCTCCTGTTTTTCCTCTGGTCCTGGCTCCCACTGTGGGAGCTTCTGATAGAAATACAGTGAACATGGTCATTCCTTTCATAGATGTGTATATATAGAGAGAGATATAATTTTTTTTTTCAATGCAGGAATTCTGTAATTTTTCTAACAAAACTTCAACACAATTCCTTCAAATACTTGGGATTCTAGCTGTGATGATTATTTTTTTCAGCTTTTAACTTTAACTCTTGTCCATTTTACACATACTTCCTCGTCTCTGCTTTTCTGCATGGAATCTTGCTGCTATCTTTTAGAAGAAAATGATAAAATTTGATCTTTCCCCTTCTACTCCAATCTTCTTTTTTTCCTCTTTGCTCAGGTATGAAAGTTATTCACTGTTCCTTACTATCTCTGCCTTCCCAGGGGCCACATCGCCTCTTGCTATCCTTATGTTCACCTTTTCCCATCTCTTATTCTTCTTTTCAGTGTTTTTCTAGAGTCCATCTTTTGTGCCTTGTATTTAGAAAGTAAAAAATAGAGAAGCTTTTGTTCAGCTTGTTTCTCAATTCTTAACAGTCTCTCTTTTGCCCTTCATGAATGCGAGGTTTTCAGTTGTTGCATTGGGTTCCTTTTGTTATTGGTTGGTTGTTTCTCTGCTTCAGCCTTTCCTTGGACTGGCTTTTATCCCATTGTTTGTAATCCTGTTGTCATCGTAAATAAGTTTTTTTCTAGAACTTGCAGCTTCTTTTTGAATAGTATTACTAAAATGAATTTGTTCTTTCCCATTCACAGATCTCGAAATCTGGTTATCCTCTCTCCATCTTAGGTGTTTTAATTATTGCAGTGTTTTGTCTGGCCTGGAAGAAGGCTATCTTGTTTACCCATTGTATTCTGCAAGACAGTTTCAAAATGTTTTCTAGCCTTTTGTGTGGTCAAGGTCACCCTTTCTGTTGTTAACTCCTGATGCTTTTCTGTACAAAATAAGTGTATCTGAAGGCAACACCTGACTTGCAAAAATCCATAACCCTGAATCAGATGAACCGAAGTTTCAAATTCTAGCCTTTACAAGCATTTAGCATCAACTACCGGTTAGATACTAGAGCTCAAATTGCAATTGCCCCTCCAGACATCCATAAAGCTTCTGCAGCCTCTACTCAATTCTTCTTTAAATCTCTTAGTCAATATTTAGGTAGCTGATATGGAGGCCCACTCCCTGACACACTGATCACCATCATTCCATTCTTTTGTCATGCTCCCTGTTTTGTGTAGCTGTGGTTGTTGTGCCTTCTAAAATCCTTAAACTATTAGCACCTTTGTTTTATCATTTTGTATTAGCACCTTTGTTTTGTATAAGACAAAGCAAAACCAAAGAATAGGCTGGGAAGGGCTGCTAGTAACAGGGGCTATTAGAAATGTGTGATTGCTCAGAACAGAGTGCTTAGCAATGGGAACCCCTTGCACTGCATGAAAAGTGTTACAAGCATGTGTAATGGAACTGGCTTGAGGCAATGACTGTAATTCTGGATTTCATGTATGGATATTTGCAAGGACTTGCCTTGGTATCTTTTAAGTGAACATTCTGAGACTGAGCAGTGCTCAGTGACGTTTATAAAATGCCCTAATACATAATTAAAAGTAAGGCAGTGCTAGGCTGGAGGTTGAACTAGATGATCTCAAGAGGGCCCTTCCAACCTAAATGATTCTGGAATTCCAGTGGTGGTTAGATTTATAGCAATTAAATACAGAAAACAGCAATTTGGATTTTGTTTGAGAATCATTCTGAATGAAGAGAATAATGGATTTTGTGGATGTGGGAATACATACATGATTTTTTTACCATTTCATTTACTGTTCTTAGGAATGAGTTACAAACTCTACTATGTGTTGTTTGGTTTTGTTTTTTTTTTAATCCTGACTCACAGTTTCAAAAATTGTAACTCTGTATCAGGAAATGTTTTTAGGTAGAATATCAGAAAAGCTTTCATTGTCAGTTCTGCAGGAAAATGTGAAGGACATCTGTCTATCCAAGTTGATTTGTTTTTTCTGTTAATGACAGCAAGGAAAAAAAATTACTTCACCGCAAGACTGAACGCTTGACATCTCGGGGGTTTTCTCTTTAAAAAGAAGTTTTTCAAATTATTTTTAACTTTCTTTTTACTAAGAACATTGAAAGCTGTTTCATCATTCTGCATTTCAACTTCAGTCAACAATTGTCTTTTAGGATGTTGAATAAGTCTGATTTGGTAACCATGCTTCAACAATGTGTGGAAATTTTTGTGTCATCTTCTGGAAAGGAGTTTGATAAGACAGTGGAGAAGTTGAAGGAGTTCTTGACCCAGTTTCAGAAACTAGAAGGTGGGTGTGTACCATCATACATTCCATTGCAGATTATATGAAAGCTGTTTCATAATCTGGCCAATGGGTATCATTTTCCCTGGTGATATCCCGTCATTGTATCAAACCATCAGATTTTTCAGGATTGTTTTTTTTAAATACATGCACAAAATTAGTAAATGTTTATATTCTTTATTGGTATGTGGTTCATGCTATTTATAATACAGAAGAGTGATGTAAAATAAGAAATTGGACAGATCAGCAAACATTACTCACTAAACCTGTCATACGTATATTTTGAGCATTTTACCGGGTGTTGCAATCAATAAAAACATTTAACAAATAAAAACAGGTATTCAAAGATAAATAGGAGCAGACTTCCTTATGTCACGGTATTTAATCCAAATGTATAAAGTTGTTTCACCTGCACCTTCAGTTGAATTCGTGTAAGAGCCAGGACACCAAGGGCCAGTTGCCAGGGCTCTGCTGACGTGCTGTAACTTGTCAGGCCCATATATTTTATTGTTCATGGTAAAGGACATATTTCAAAGTTTAGTAAGGCAGATGAGTAGCACCTGCTGCCTTTCAGAGGCAGGTTAACAGAAACTGCCACATTCCTTCTGAAACTGGAATGTGACATATTCCAGCATTCTTCTGGAACAGGAATTTCACTGCTTCCCCTGAACTGTGGAGAGGTGCTCCCCTGTGATTCCCTTTTGAAGATGAAGTAGTTATCTGGTCTGTTCTATGCATATTAAATTAAGTTCATTATCAGTGTGGTTGCTACCCGGCATTTGGGCACCTAGGCAATAAGCCACCAAATTCAGTCTAATACTTAGTGTTTCTCATGTTTCTTATTGCTTACTTTGTGTTTTTTTTTGCACATGAGAAGTTAAAAATCTGCAGTGTGTGGCTTTTTGAATATTCCTAAAGCATCAGTAGTGTCTAATACTGCACCAAATGCAGTCTAACGCATTCACAGCCAGGCTGGATGGGGCTTTGAGCAACCTGGTCTAGTGGAAAGTGACCCTGCCCATGGCAGGGGATTGGAACTAGGTGGTCTTTAAGGACCCTTCCAACCCAAACCATTCTGTGATTAATTAAAGTAGTCATGTAATGCTTTAAGTTTAAGTGAGGCTTGTTTAGGAGAATAGTTTAGAAAAAAAGAATTGAAGCAAAAGAGTTTTGAGTAGTTGGATTTTTACCTTGAGGGAATAAATAAAAAAAGAATAACTCCGGGAATTCAGGGACATGCAGAACTACAAAATAAAAAAGGCTGTATTTATTTTCATTTAGGATTTAAAAATGTTTTTAAAGCACAGGAGGTCTAATGAGTCCGTGAATTACTTAGTTTGTTTTCAAAGCAGATTTAAAGCTATAATTAAAAAGTGAGAAGCAGAAGCTAAGATAAACTTTACATGAATAGGTTGCCGAGTTAGATTACTTCTTCCTGTATGTTTGTGATTTTGTTGATAGTTAGCGGGAGTTTTCAGAAGTCTGCCAAGGATGTTATGTACCCAGATCTCCCACAGAGCCCTTAGAGTGAAAGGATAGTCCAAAATTTTTATTTTTTAACAACAACAAAGTCCATCTTCCTGACTGCCTAATGAACTGGAAAAAATAAAAATACAAAGCTTGAGGAAACAAAGTAGCCTTATGTTCAGTCTATTTTGAGCTGAAGGATTTGATAAAAAATATCTCAAAATACATAGGTGTAGTAGTGGAAAGAGGAAGTTCTCTGATTTGATATCTTCAGCACAAATACAGATGTCCACAGGGCACTGGAAAATACCAACTCATTTCTATGTAGATCACCAAAAAGCTTTTATATATCATGATTGTCACTGCTGATTGGAGCTTTACCTGTGATCTGTAGGTGGCATTACCATCTTCATAAGTAAGGAAAGAACTGTCGTTACCTTTTGTTTTGATCTTGTTATCACTGTGCTTTGGGAGTTTTTGCTTCTTTGTTTTTACGTAAAAATTATTAATTATTGGTGCAATTGATCCATAAACTACATGGCTATGGAAACAGAATTTTGTTATAAATTAAGATGAGAATAAAACTGGACAGTGAAATACCTTAGCATGCTTTTGGTTTGCTGCTCTGGTTGCAGTTTCTGGGTTAAGTAGGGAGAACTTACTTCTTACTTAGTGGTTTTTTCCATGTGAGAAAGGAAAAAAAAAAAAAAGTGCAGTGTGTGGCTTTTTGAACACTCCTAAAGTGGTATCTAGTACTAATCTGTCCAATTTACAGACGTTGAGAGCGTGACCTAGGATGACCTATGCGGAATTCAAGTGATGTGCAAGACTTGTGTCGAATCTTTGCTCAGGGCTGAATTGCTTCGGTTACTTAATTACTATTGGTTAAGCTGCACTGCAGGCTGCTTTGTTAACCATCTTTTGCAAGGTCAAGACTCAAAAGCTGTCTATGTTTGGGTCTATGTGAACAAGTAACTGAACACTTCTCGGATTGCTTGGGTTAGGGGGTTTATATTAGGTACTCAGGAAAAGTTTACCCCACGTATCAAACATTAGTTTTGTTCTAGTAGCAGAAGCTGTCCCAGAACGAGATGTGTCCGTATCGTCACAAAAGGAGCTCCAGAAGAAGACAGACCTTTATCATCTTCAGAAGGTCAGGCCTGCGTAGGCTTTACTGACTAGTTCCTTAACTGAATCTTTTAAGATGTAATTGTCCGTGGTTAGTTCTTCCCAGCTTGCTGGAGCTCTCAGTAAAGGCTGTGTATAAGTAACTCTTTTAAAAATGAGTGAATAAGTACTAACTATGTATGTCAGGCCCACCTGACGCATAGAAAATTATAGAAAAATATCTGTCATAAACTAGGATTTTAAAATGCAAATTAGGGGTTTTCTTCTTATTTAACTTGTAAATTACACATTCTGCCTAACCTGCATTTCTTTGAATTTCCCAAACTCCTACCAGTTTGAGACTGAATACGCTGGCCTAAATAAAAATAACTGCACAATCACACTTTCAAACGTCATCAGTGAAGACACTGCAAAAATTAATTATACAAGTTAAACATACAGCTTGTGTTCTCCAGAGAATAACTACCTCCCATGTAGTTTTATGCACCACTTTTTTTTTTAAAGACTTTGTTGGAGTTGAAGGAATCAAGGCGGTCTAAGAAACTGACAAAGTTTGAAATGCTTCGTTTTGAAGTTATTGACTATATAGACAGTCTTGTAAGGTGAGCTTTCCTGTTTTATATTCCTGCATTAGGTTTGCACCGTAAGTTGCAACAGAAATTTTGCTAACATAATCTTGGCAAAGTTGTGTCTTGGTCCCTGCAGTATGAAGCACACTTTTTTTCCTTCCTATTCTTTCTTTGATGAAGGCTCTAAAAATAATTTAAAGGAAAAAAAAATCTCTTTTCCATAGATTACTAGAAGTAATTGGCACATGAATTGACCAACTTATTTTGGCTTCAGAAAAAACTTGAGGGAGGACTTGGGTGTATGTGGCAAAATAAAGTCAAGAGTTTTTACCCTAATCTTTGCTGATCTGTTCTGCTTATTAAACTATAGATGTCACGTGTGATATCCTATCCATTTTGGGAACTGTTTCGGTGAGCAAGGCATAGGAGTCAGCATTTTGGAGGCAGTTCTGTATCAGAAAATGGGTTAGGGTGGGTGAAGAGATGTAGGCATTTGTTAATTACAAAGTCTTGGGGCGAGGGGAGGCAGAGAAGCGCAGAGAAGCTAACAGAAGTATGATGGTGCCTAGATGTAGAGTTGATAATAACTGACTTCCCTGCTTAAAAGTTGATTTCAGTACTGGTTGTCTTGTTTTTTTTAGAGATTTGTCAGTACTGGTTGGGAAACATATATTCTCGTAGTCTCTGACTGCAGTAGACTTCGGTTGTTTCCCTTAAGGTAAAGCTTGTATCTGCGCTCCTTCCCCCATATCTCATGTTGCTTTTTCAGAAACTACCTTGTTCCTGCAGACCACAAGACTCTGCATGAGGTTGTGTATTTCAACACAGCCAGTGTTCTCCGTGAGCACTTGAACGCTGCCCCGAGGATTGCACTTCATACAGCTTTAAATAACCCATACTGCTACCTGAAGGTAAGAAATAAACTAGTTGGTGGTGGTGCTGGAGTAGTTTCTGAGGGCTACGCATGATGATGATGCATAAGGCTTAGTTTTGCTTTCGTGAAGCTTGGCACACGTCCAGCTGTTTTGCAGAGAACCAGCAAGTTAGTGTAGATAAGCAGCTGGGGACTTTGCAGAGCAAGGGAATCTGGCTGCCTGAAATAAAGCAGCTAATTACGGAAAGAGTTCTATAGGGGGAATCCATTTTCCAGAGCCTGTTCTAGTCGTGATCTTTTCTTTCTCCTGTAGATGTAGCAGAAAAGTCATTTTATCCTCCATTAGAGATGGGGTGACTGTCCATGGTGGAAAATACAGTGTCCGGGGCTCTTTCCAGAGACTTTCTTTACAGGGCTGGTGATTAGTCCTCCCTGTGTAGACTTGCTATAAGATGAAGGCTCTGTTCAGGTGGAGTGATGACATTAACAACAGCTTAAATACAGTGTATTTAAATCAGTCCTTTGGTTTTCTTTTTACATTTATTTTAATATGCATTGACATCCTATAGTTTCCAAGTCCAAGAAAAGGATTGTCATTGATTCTACTAGTTAACCTTGCCCTTTTCTTGAGAAGAAAAGCAGCCCCTTTTCCATTTCTTTCATAAATCAAATTCACAGGGTGACTGAAAGAAACAGAGTGGGATTTGGTAAAGGAGTGAACATGTATTTCTTTGTTTTGTCCTTGATTATTTATGCTACTTGGAGTTATCCTCATGCCCTAACGTTTCCCTTAAAAATGTGATTACAGTTTTGAAATAGACATTGGTTGTAGCTGTATCTGAGTGATTATATGTTACTTGAGTCAAACCCAACACTTACCAGGAATCATACTTGGTAAAGATCAGTCTTTGAAATCTACAACCTGATTTGTATTGGGTTTGTTGGCACCGTGCCTCTGTTTGAATGAGGGTTGTCAGTTCTGTGGTGTGCAGGAGTTACTTCTAAAACCAGTTAAAGAGCTTATTTGTGAAAACAGTAGTTAGCAAGGGGGCTACCATTGAAGAGACCTAATATGAACCTCGGTAATTTATATTTTTAGAAAACCTGTAAAAATACAGATGAGGAGAGCTAGCAAAATCTACCTACTGATACTTTTAATGAGTATTCTCTTTGATGAGTTGACAGGATTTAAAGCCCTCTGTCATCCCGCACTTTGTTCTTTGACATACTTTAACATATTTCCAATGTTTTCGGAGTAGATCGTGAAGGTTTGGCATAGTTTCTAACAGCAGCAGTATTGGCTGAGTACCTTGCTTAGCATTTTAATCCACGTGAGTCAAAAGAAATATTTTTTCTTAATTGCATCTGTGACTTCTGCGTGGCTTGTACTTTCCTGGGCCATGACCAGAGCAAAGTTCTCTAGAGCTGTTCCTTCCAGAAGGCTAGGACAGAACAATGCTGCTTCAGTGGAGTAGCAGCAAATGATTAATATGTGATGCATTTCTTATAGGAATCCAGTCTAGTTATTTATTTAGCAAAATGTGAACCAAGGATCATACTTATGCTTGGGGGGGAACCAAACAACACAAAAAGCATAATTCGGTTTTCACTGATCCCTTGAGAATTCCAGCAAAGCGCTGCTTAGTATTGTGTCAGCACAAGGAAATCTGATCTTGGATCTTCCTGGGGTTTAGATGGTTGTGCCAGTTATTTTTGTTGACCTTGGGTAAGAAGGGTGATTTTTCACATTGATCTCAAGGAATGAGCCCTATTACCCATGAAGAGACTTTGATTGCTATGAAATGGAAATCCTCGAGTTTCAATTCAGCTCTCCTATCGGGGAAAGGGGACACTAGCATTTGGTCCGTGGGAAAGACAGTAACACTGATTCCAGGGCAAGGTACAGGTCTGTCCTCTGTCTAGCCTCTGGGGCAGGGTCAAGAGAAACCCCTTATCAACGGTGTTCTGGGTTGCTCCCACTCCCATACCCTTTCTGAAACAGCACCTCTGTGCTGTACATGTGGTTTCACAACTGGCTGCTCGCTCTAGGGCAGCTTCCTGCTTGTCAGTCTAGTTATTTCCTCTCGGGGACAAGGCATGTGCTGCCGCCTCAGGAAGCTGAGGTTTCCCCGCACGTCGCTGCAGCCCTCTCCCGCTATGCTGTAAAGGCTTGGCCTAGTTATCACAAGTGAGGCTGAATTCTTTCAGGTGCTGGCAGAAACCCTGCAGTGCCAATCAGTACTATCTTCCCTGGATCATTCTCGGAATTTGCGTGCGGTCCAGCTGCACATGAGCCTGTTCCAGGAGAGTGCAGTTGCTCCAGAAGGTGTATCCTCTCTTGGTCGTGGTAACTGTGCTGGCCTTAAGATGAGAAAATCAATGCAAAGTGTCCAGCAGTGCCAGAGTTGGCACATGGGTGAGCGGTAGGAAGCCACAGAGTTAGGTGAAGTAGCAGAGGGGAAAAGAGAAAGGCATAGAGTTATCCCTCTGGGCAGTGGTGCGCCAGTAGATCAGCCAGAAGATGTAACTTCCCCGTGCTGTTACTGACACAATAGTGCTTGAAACTATTTTGGTGTGCCCCTGAAGTACAGTCTGGTAAGTTAATGTCTGGATTGAAACTTTTGAGGGTTTAGCCATGTTACTCTGAATTTATCAGGATGCTGTCTGGACTGAACTGACAGGTATTAACCTAAAGTCTGCAGCTTTTGTGTTCCTTGTACAGCATAAACTTGAAAATTGTTAGGCTTTCTGGAAGTTGTGAAATGTCTCCTAAGTGCTAGAGTCCAAACTGTATCAGTCTCACACATTGCAGGGATTGAGATCTATGAAAGGTAAGCTAGAGGTTCTTGAGCAAAGTCATATTCTTTGCCCAGCCTTCTTTCCTATCTTGGAAAGCATTTATTTATGAAGGTATTCTTGCTAGAGCTTTACAGACTTCCCAAAAGTAACTGGCACATTTTCTTAGCATATAAAAGCATATTAGAAAAAACTTTTATGAACTGAAAGGAATGATCAGTGGTTGTTTTTATGTTAAGAGAGCTGGCTGCTTCAGTGCATGAAACTGAAAAAAAAATTATGAACTGACACGAAACGTGATAAATTCCTGCAGCTCTACAGAGACTCTTGCTTCTGGCTTAAGTGGCTTTTTTACTTCTCAAGTAAATAGTTTGGTGCTGATGACTTGAATTTCCTGACATGTAGAACAGTTTGTGAGAAATCAGACTTTTGCCTTATAGGTGCTGAGTTTCACACCAGAGAGAAATGATTGTTACATTTCAAAGATAAAACACTTGACGATGAGAGAAGCAGTTTTGCTTTTTAGTACATCTGATAGATCTATACTAAGACTTCCTCTTCCCTTTTGGGGGAGCGGAGGGGAAGGGACACTTTTCTCTTTTCTACGTAGTACACTCTGGGGTAAATCATGACTAGTTTCTTTTCCTGAATCCACCAGAGTATTTCTCTGATATGTAAATAGAACTAGGAAAAGAACTGGGGGAAAGTCTCATCTCATTAGAGGACAGACTGTGTTTAAGGGTACAAAATTGCAGGAGGAACACCAGGAGTGAAGTACCTAGCTGTGGTGGTGGTGTTTTCTAACAGTAGGGTTTCTTATTTTCATGTTTTTTGTTTTGCTTTGTTTTTCCTTTGTACCGTCAACTTGCCATTAAACACACACACAGTAAACATTTGGTTTAAATACCTGCTATGTGCATTTCCTGAAATAATGTTCTATCTAGCCCTAGAAACTGTTCAAGGTTAAAAGCTGATCAAAGTTACTTTTTTTTTTTTTTTTTTTTTAATAGAATCAAGCTTTGAAAAGTAACGGAGGAAGCATTTCTAATAAAGCCCCTGACATATGCATAGTCTATAAGCTTCATTTGGAGTGTGGCAGATTGATTAATCTCGTTGATTGGTTAGAGGTATGTGACAATGCGAACTGTGCTTTTACCTGCTTCCAGTACTCTGATTTATCTTTCTGCTGCACGTCAGCGTCTCTTTAGTGCCATTTTGACAGCTTAAGTCATGGCATACCTCAGTCCCTCCTGTGCAAGAATACACAGTAACTCCAGTCACCAGCCCAGAGCCTTCCTCTGACTACTGTGCATCATTTATTTCCAGCATTATTACTCTGTGATGAAAAATCTTTTGCTTCTACTTCTATTTTATGCTCAGCACAGATCTCATTTTATGCTTCACAAAGCTAACTTTTTTTTTCCCCTTCATTTTTCTGTATTCTGTGACACTTTAATGGAAACAGGCAAATGCTGCTACTTGGCAAGTGTGGGGCTCTTGGAGAGATGCTTGTGCTGGGGAAAAGCAAAGGTCCCTCTAGCCTGATACCCTGTCTCACACTGTGACCAGAGGCAGAGAGAGTATAACAAGAGAACGTACATAAATACGATACATTCCCCAAACACTCCCTAGCTAAAAATCATGTTTTAGCTGTAAAGTTTCCTAGCTTGGAGTGGTTTCTCTGTATTTCATACGCCTGCCTGGATGACGTTACCAATGTAACTTTAGGTACTACATCATCATCCGGCAAGAAATTCTGTAGCTTAACCACACGCAGTGCAGAGGACGCTCCTTTTACTTATGTTTGCTTGCTGCTGCGTTGTGTATTGGAAATAAAAGTGGACTGGAGATTCCTACCCAGCCTCTTACTGTCCCTCAGTTTTAAGGATTTCTTCACAGCCAACTTACCTCCTTAATTTTTCCAGAATACTTAAGCAGCCTTGCCTTGAGAATGTTTTTTTTATTTCTGTGATTTTTTTTTTTTTTAATTTTTTTTTTTTTCTGAGAATGGGTCAGGAACCAGAACTGTGCTGGGATTTAAAATGCAGGCACATGAGTTCATAGAGCTATGCCTTTCTTTCTGTATGCCTGCCGTGGCAGTACGTAACCGTGCTTGCTCTTTCGATTGCTGCTGAACGGACACTCTCAGGGAGTTGTTATTCCAAGATCTCATTCCTCCTAGTGATAGTCATCAGCTCAGAGCTCATTATTTTATATGCAGCTCTGTCTGTCTATGAAATGTGTTAAATCTGTGCTGCTTTTCCCTTTCTAGGCTTTCTCAACTGTGGTGACGGCAGTTGAGGGACCAAATGCAGACGCAGCTTCGTCAGACCAGGTGGATGATACTATCCAGTATCCTTTTGCATTTCCCTCAAGTTTAAAATGCAAATGCTTACAGGATTAATGAACCAGGATTTTTAAAATACAGCTGATGCACTGACAACTAGTGCCAGAAAAATAAGATGACTCGTTTAAACAGCCTGAAAATGTCACAGCACTAGATCAGCTGAAATAGCTCACTGGGGGTGGCAAGGCAAGAGAGCAGCTTTGTCCAGAGGAGCCAACAGTCCATAAAACAGGTTGAACTATTCCACTTGGTTAAATCACCTTGAGAGCTGGTACAGCTGCTGTGTAGGGGGAGAGCGTTACTGGGGAACAGATGATAGGGTAGCTGTGACCTAGAGAGCAGATGGAGAAATAGAAACAGCCACTTATTCTAAGGAAGATGGAAGCATTAGCAGAGGAAATGCTTACAAAGTAGTGCCTCTGTAGAAGCCATGAGTTCTAGTACCTTAGAGCTGAGAATTTTAGTTCCCATAAAACCTCCATTCTGCTTCTCACTTTGTCCCGATTCTTAACTGAGGTCTGCAAAATAGTTAAAAGGATGAGCATTAGAACCAGAACTCATGGCTACAACAGCAGTGCAGCCACACAGAAGAGATGAATAGTTGTACGGAAGGAGGCTTAGCTACACGAAGAATATTTATATGCTGTAATACTACACCTAGCTTTCCTTTAGTGTAAGGCCTTTTTTTTTTTTTTTCCTTTTTACAAGCTCCACTGGTAATTAACACAAAACTAAATTCTGTTTAACTCACAGATATATAGCTGTGTGTCAGGAGGGCAGCAGGAAAGGTGTAGTGAATAGCGAGTAAAGAAAAGGTGGTGCTGTTTGATGAAACCTCAAAAAACTCCCCATTTTTTTGTCAAGGGATGTGAAAGTATAAACTCTTTCTTCTTCTGAGAGACTACAAAATTAGTATCTTTGTAGGCTTTAAGCTTCTTTTAGCAGTGAAGAAAGGAACTGTTCCTTCATTGCCTCATTGTATGCACAAGCAAGAGAAATACTGACTGGACTGAAGATTTGTGCTTCTGTAGGCAAATCATGTTCTGCCCTTATTTCCAACAATTTTAGTGTGCAACACAACATCTTGGGTAGTCTCTGCTTACCACGACTTTGAAGTCTTCCCCTCCTAGAGAGAACAGTATCTCCATCAATGTGTCAGAAAGCGTACTCTGTTTCCTTTACTGAACTGCCCAGCGCTCGTTTTATTCGAGCTGTCTCTGAACTGGAACTGTTGGGGTTCATAAAGCCTAGCAGGCAGAAAACTGACCACGTGGCAAGGCTGACATGGGGAGGCTGTTAAATGTGCCACCGAAACCTGTTCTTTCTAACGTTGTGCAATGGCGCTGTTCCCACTCACCAGTCCTCGCTACCTTTGCATACTCAGAGTCAACACTGCCTGGATGTTGGGCGATACATTCCGAGTGCCTGGGTAGGCCTGAATGGCCACCGTGGTTTTTAATACTCAGCCTCCCTGTGAGATGTACTGCTCTGTTCATGTTCCAAATACTGTATCGTTGTGCCAGTTTTAATCTCCTCTGATGTGTGGTATTTAACGCTACACTGATAACAATTCAGGCTAGCAAGCCAAAACGACATCACTGGCTGTGTAAGCCACAGAAGTGATGAAGCAGTGTTATCAACTTGCATATAAGCTGATAGGATTTGAGTCATCATTATAAAATGCCTTCCAGATCCTTGAACTACAGATTAAAAATAAATAAAACCAGTATGCTAAAAAAGACAGTAAGCTTCCACATTTAGCTGCTGCTACATGTTCTTCAAACCAAAACTGGTCATAACTCCCTGAAAACTCCCTCATGAGGAAGAGAAGGAGACAGAATAATTTTGAAGAGACAAATTTTTGTTCTTTGAGCAAAAGCAAGCTCTTTCAATCATTCGATTTTTCTAGTGGGGCTGATTAGTACTAGCTGACTCTTGCTGTCAGGGGAACTTGTGTCAGTATAGACTAAATGGGAGGAAGGTAGTAAAATCCACACCTGAAGTACACCCTTTTCTCTTTGCTGAGGATTTGTGCTGTACCACAAGCAAAGGAAACAGCTGTGTGAACATAACTCTTGGCTGAGAGCGTTGCAGCACTGCTCATATCTCAGAGCTTCAGCGAAGGCCCTTCTTGGCCCTGCGTGCTAAGCAAGGCCAGGATGCACGCTGAGCTTCTGCCAGCACGGAGCAGTGCCTACACCCTGGTACAGGTTCCCAGTGCTGTCCCTGTTGCAGGAACTGGACTGGAACGGCTCACAGCTGCTTCTGACTTGGTCAGGATAGGCCAGAGAGCTGCTGTTCTCTGCCTAGCGTCAGTCACAGACCAGTGCTTGGTACCACAACAAAAGCCACCAATAAAGTGCTGTGCCAAAGCGCTGGGAAGCCACGGTCGTTGCTGGAGTTACTCGGTCCCTGAGGAAGCCAAGGTGGTTAAGAAAAACCTACACCTGATTCCAGGTATCAGAGTAACATGGGTATGTCCCAACCAGCCCATTTTTTTTCCTCTGGCACTCTAAAGCTACGCTGCACATCTTCCTGCATTAAGCTTCAACTTCCCTCAGACTCCGGGGAGCAAATGTGTTTATGCTGATGTCCGTGTCCCACACTTTCCATCCACGGAAAAGGCCTTGGAATTCACAGGGAAAAAGCGGCATTTCCCTCCAGGACAGGCTGCATGTCTGCCATGCATTGATAAACTGTCACAAGGGCTGTGACACGTGCACTTCAGCAGCATGGGCAGAGTCTTCAGGTCAGTCTTATCAGCTAGGAAAGGGCTGCACTTTTCTCTTGTTTAGACTTTGTCCCTCCCAGCCAACTTGAAAGTTGAGTGGCGATTACTTAGTTTATTGTAAAAGACTGTATTTATTTACCTCCAAAAAAAGCCTGCCAGACTTCCTCAATTGACTGAAAGAGGATTACAGCCTTCCCTTCCCTTCTCTTTGAGGCGTGTAAGCGCGTGCTGCTCTGAGTGCATGGGTTCAGCCATCACTAGAATCCAGGTGCTCCCACTTAGTTGCGCTGGCACTTCAGCCTACTCAAAACAACCGAAAATGATTGCCTGGAGCACTGAAGATTGAATCACTCGCATAGGCAGATCTGTACGAGGAGGGGGGAAGTCCTATTACAGGAACACATAACTTACCAGGCTGTTTACCCAGGAATGTATACAACATAGGTTAGGCTTGTTTTAAATACCCTCAGAGAGGGCAGGAGTCATGGATTTCCCAACTGCTCTAATTGCAGGGACACAGTAACACTTCCTGCTGTACCTATGGGAGGGCCCCGTTCTCAGTGTTGCCAGGCAAATAAAGAGGCCAAGGAGGACGAGTAGTTTATCAGCCTTTATATGGCCTAAACGTGCAACTCGGGAAATGTAGTGATGAAAACTCAGAGCAAGGATTTTTAGGATCTCAGTAGAGCAGCTGCAAAAGTTCCTCTCATCCCCCAAGACACAGGGTAAACAAGTTCCACTGTTCTTCACTCCAGAGCCAAGCTGGGGGACCTGTATCATGGTGGCCTTTACATGTAAGGCTTTCAAGCAGCGGAGAGCAAAGTGAGAAATGCCAGT